CAGAGGTGTGACACCACATGGAGTTCTTCCAATTCCATGCTGCAACGTTGAATGATGTAGATCCAAAGGAAGCCATTCATTCTGCTGTGCCTGTACTAACTCTTTGAAAGAGCTATCTAAATAGTGGTACTCCGCCGCTCATTGCAAAATTTGCCTTCTGCAGAAGGGCACTCTGTGGGAACAACATTTCTATGGAGTTTGCATCAATCCTCCAGCAAGATTACGGCAGAACTTCTACAATAATTTCACACAAATTCTTTTCACTTCCTGATGCAAATAGACCCGCTGTACATTTCTAGTATTTTGCCTGCTCTCTTTCAATTCCCGATTCGCTTTTACTTTTGTAAGCAAAAATAAAAGTTTGAAGTGCTGGGGGCCCCATTTGTGTCAAGGTGGCAGACATCTTAAAGAACAAAGGTAAAGGTATCTGATCCTCTTAATCATTCAGTGTTTATGTTTATTCAGCAGCATGGTATTTAAGGTGCCTGGAATATGAGGCTAACTTGTTAAACAAAGCCTACCATTTGAATACGACTAATTGATAAAACATTACATCTGATCGGAACAACGTAAATGAGGTTATTAAACAAAAATATCTAGGGCTATAAGCTTCCCCCGCTTCTACTTCACTTCAAATTGCGTTCAGCGGAAGCTCCACTTAGAGAGCAAAGCTGAAGGAACTTCACCCACTCCATGTTTAATCCACATAACGTCAAGAAGCATTTTCTATTGAATGCCTTTATGCCCACTGTGATAGGGAGGACAGGAAGGAACAGCATACTTGTGGGTTTTAGGCTCACATCCAGCACCACCCAGGAATGGCAGGTGTTCAAATAGAGCTTGGGTGTTACAGAGTCATAGAGTCATATAGCAAGGAAACAGACCCTTTGGTGCAATCAGTCCATGCCGACCATAAACCCAGAATAAACTAGTCCTGCCTGCTTGTGCGTGGCCCATATCCCTCCAAACATTTCTTTTTCATGTACGTGTCCAAATGTCTTTTAAATGCTAAACGAGGAGGAAGGAGTAATCCCTTTCACAATAGGCTTAATGGTTTTGTGCATGTTCAACTCAAACTGTAGCACTGGCCTCCTATTGTTTTGTAGCCAATGCAGAGGGGTGGAGAGGGGGGATGACTGGCTAGTTTGACTGAAACATTCTTTCTTTGGTGTATCATGTCCATTCAAGCAGGCAAAGTCTGCTCAAGCATTTCTATCAAATAAACAGCAGTGCTCCCTTTCTTCCTCCCACGACTGTCATGATTCAGTCATAAAAGTATTCAAGAGTTTTTTAGAGAAAAAAGCAATATTACCCCAATGAACAAGTTTAATCAACCAAATGTGCTCGCTTATTTCCTCTCTCTCTCTCCCATTCCCTCATTCACACCGTCTTCAGCCTCTCCCTCTCTAATGATTTCCATCTACATATCTGCGTATGGTTGGAAATGAAGTGCACACCCACAACACTCTCCTGATATAACAATGAAAAACATGTTAAGCAGGAACCAATATGTGTTTTAAAAACAGAAAATGTTGGAAATACTCAGTGAATCTAACACTATCTGTAAAAAGAAGGCAATCGATGGGCTGGATGTGGAAAAAAGAGTGGAAGTCCTGACACCAGGGTCAGTATATGAGTTGCATAGCTGCATTAGGAGGTGGTGGGACTTCCTCGGCAATCTTTTTATTAATATCCAAACAATGTCCATAGACCAGCCAATAACAAGTGGAGGGCAGAAGGAAGTCCTGGCAGCTCAAAGGAGGGCACCATTTTTTTAAAGGCCAATGCAGTCCTTGTACAGGACAAAGTAAATCTGCTCCTTCTCCAAAGTGGGCAGTAGGATCCAGGTGAACAGGAATAAGATATGTCAAAGACTTTAACATTGGCCCTTTAGAAACATTGAATTTAAGAAAGATGGTACTGGTAGAAAAACACATTTGGGAAAATGAACTTGGAAAAATAAAAATTTAGACACATTAGGAACGAAGAGATTTAGGTAGCTGTTGTCCAAGAGTGCTTTCAATGCCAGAGGGCATGCGTTGAAGACCAACCTCTCCCTGGATTTGTCACTAACTTAAACGTTCAACCCTTCAAAATGAAACAACAAGCTACAATTGAGCACACCCTTGACATGCAAAACAGAAATCCATGTTCATAAACAAGTTAACTGATGTTACACAGGTCAAACTGAAATGGGCATGAAACAAAATAAAACAAAATCTTTGTCATCTTTTATGACCATGACTCAAGTATATGTGTTGTTCAGCGCAACAGCATTTTTACAACGATAATATTCTGCTAGTGTTTTATGTGTTTAGCCAGGACAAAGGGAATACGAGCATGTTACGTATCACTTCAAAGACATTGCTGTGGGTAAATGCAGGTGTGTTCAACCCGCCACAAACACAATCTAAAGCAAACCAATATCAACTACCAGATAACAAGGTGCAGGGCTGGATGAACACAGCAGGCCAAGCAGCATCATA